AAAATAAAATAATTGCTACTAAAAAACACAGCGAAACCTTCAGAATGATAGCTTTAAACTACCTTGAAGCTTGAGTTCCTTCTGAATTTCCCAAAGTTTTTCTGCACTGTTTTTCAAATGGGCCTCTCCTTCAGGGGCCAGATTTATCTTTATAAGAGGTGTAATACCATTGTCTCCCAGGAAACAAGGAACACTAAGGAGTACTTCTTCATTTATCCCATAGAGGCCCTTCATTATGATGGAAGCTGGATGCACTCTCCTAAGATTCTTCAAAATACTTTCCGTTAAATCAGCTACAGATAGGCCAGTGGCCCTGTTAGTATAGTACAGCCTTTCGTTTTAACCATCTCATAGCCACAGATGATCACTTCTTTGTGGACTTTTCCCACTATTCAGGATCTTTGTCGGTTCGTATATCTGAGTTCAGATCCTTCAAAGGAACACCAGCAACGTTCACTCCGCTCTACACAGGAACGTTGAGTCCCCGTGCTCTCCGAGGATCCACCCATGACAGCTTTCAGAGTGGATATCAAGCCTTTGCCCAATGAAGAAACGGAAACAGGCAGTGTCCAGATGACAGCCACTTCCAATAACACAGTTTTTAGGAAAACACTCAACTTCCAGGATGCATAAGTTAAGATATCCACTGGATTGGAAACTACTATCAGTTTGCATTGGGAGCTATATTGGGTAATATTGCAAATCATTAACTTAAAGATGGACGTGTTTGGCTGGACTACTAGAAGATGTGTTTCTCCTTTTTGTGGATGCACAGCCACTGCGATAATCACTAAGTTGGAGTTTGCAGTGACACAATAATCTTTGCTGGAAACGATACTTGGCATTTTCAGGAAAGGGCTGCCATGTTGAAGGTCCATCGTCTCCCCCTTCAGTTGGCCTCATCAATGGCCAGAAAGGCCGGTTCATCACTCACACCTTCCAGTAAGATGCTGATAGCACAGAGCATGACAGCCGAGCCAGTCCCTGTAGTGGAGATCTTATTGTGATGAATGGCCTCCTCCTAAGTGAAATTCTTCATCAGTTCATGCTTGACAGTCACCACCTCAGAAACGGGGTGAAGGGCCAGATTCCCAGGAGTGGGGTGCCTGCCTCTGGGTGGGCACATGGAGCCACCCCCCAGCAGAGGAAATTCATTCCCGCGGCGCCTGATCTCCAGCTGGTCGGCAGAAATCCCGCAGCCCAGCTCATGGTCGGTCACCTGAGCGGTGCAGGAAGAGGATGGAGGAGACCGGTGACACAGAAGCTCCTTGAGGTGCGAAGAAACCGCCCACAGTTGACGGCCCCCACCCTCTGCTACTGCAAGGCTGCTCAAGGCCATGCCCAGCTCATGCAGGAGTCTCGCAGGCCTAGGACCTAGAATGTGCTTTAAAATTTCACGAATGTCTAGTAACTTTCTATGTCATTAAGACAGTTCTGAAAGAATGGACTATGATCATTAAGGCAGAAAGCAGTTTTGGCTTTCCCTTTCAACA